ACCCTGACCCAGTTCTACCTTACAAATCCAGCTAGACTGGAGTATACACATTGGTACAGATGAGAGCTCTTGACATAAGGAATTCAGGACAGAGAAAACCATCAAGAACAGTAGTGTGTGTAGTGATATTATGGGGGGAGGGGGGGTGGGGGGGAGAAGGGAACCCATCACAAGGGTGGATATATAGCCCACCTCCAGAATAACAGAATAAACTGCAGAAGAACAGAAATGTGGGTGAAGGGAGACAGTGGACAGTGAAAGACAAGAAATAACAACAATAATTTATAATTTATCATGGATTCTCTGGGATGGGAAGGTGGGGGGAGGAGGGGGAAAAGAGGAGCTGATACCAAGGGCTCAAGCAGAAAAAAGATGTTTCAGAAATGTTGATGGCAACATATGTACAAGTGTGCTTAGTACAATTGAATGATGGATTGTCACAAGATTTGTAAGAGCCCCCCAATAAAATGATTTAAAAAAGAGTTTATGAAGAAGAATTTAGTATCAGAATTAGAGGAAGGGTTATTAAATTGTGATATACAGATGACACAGCCTTGCTTCCTGAAAGTGAGCCACTTGCTCATGCAGGTAAACGGTTGTAGCAGTCAATGTGGATTGCTGTAGAGAAAACAGAACTTCTCATAACTGGACCAATAGGCAGCACTGCGGTCAGCAGAGAAGAGAGTCCAGTTGTCAAGGATTCCATCTTAATTGAGTCATGGGTGTGTTAGGCTGCATTGTCCAGAAAAACAAAACCAGTGATACTTCTATGTAGGTAAGAGTGAACTTTGTATCAAGACAGGATCCCAGCCAAGTCCAAGTCAAGTCTGTGGCTCAGCGGCTAGCCAGAGTCCTCTTCAGACCCAGGTAGCTGCAGCCTGAAGAAGCAAAAGCAGGCAGCAGGGAACATCGCAGGAGGGTCGGTCGGTGGGAACCTGGCAGACTCCTGACAACATTCCATGACACTGACCCACGTGGGGATGCCGCTGGAGGAGGATACAATGTGCCAGCGAGAAGGAAGGTGAAGGAGTAATGAGAGAAAAGTTCTCATTACTTCTTTTGGAAGAAGGGCCCACCCTATGTTTTGGGAGTCTAAAGAGGACTTTATAGCTTGGTATCAGACATATGGGCTAACATCGGACTTATGGACTTGATCTGGACTGGGCTGAGATGTTTTCTCAATATTCAATTGCTCTTATATATGAAGCTCTTTTTTATACACAAAAAATACTGTGATAGGTAGGTTTATTGTGCCAACGTGGCCAATAGGAACAGGTGGGATTAATTAGGTCACAATTCGATTGGAGGGCAAAGAGATAAATGGCTCGGCAAGCCCCGCCCCTCTCTGTAGACAGGATGTTAGCAGGGCGGTGAGCTGAGATCATACTTGCTGAAGTAGTGGAGTGAGCGCTGGGCACATACATTTTATGTGAGAAGACACTTGGAGAGCCATCGTGGAGACTTTAGAAGGCGATGGCTACGTTGGAAGGGGGTAGCAGTAGCTGGTACCTGGCAGCTGTGGCAGTGGAGAAAGTGTAGGAGCCTGCCTGGTGGGGAATGGAGGAGGGGCGGGAGGGAGGATTGCTGAGAGGATGACAACTTTGGAGGCATCCAGAGGGTTGAGGCAATTCTGTGTATTCTGCAAGGTCAATCTGATGATTGACGTTGCAGTTCTATCTTGAGCAGTCACAGAGCTTGCAAAACTGGTGAAAGAACCAAGTTACAGGTTTGGCCTAGTTGCCACGGAATGAGATCATGTGTCCTGAATGTTGAGCAAACAGGATTTGAAAGGCCGATCAGAAATTGACTTTATTTTCTCCTCTCTTTTTGACAAAGCTCATTTCCTGCTTAAAGCACCACGTGGGGCAGTGTTTTCTGTGCCCCGACCACATCTAGGGCAGATTTGGTACTTAAAAAAAACAAAACATCTTTCAATAACTTTTAACCACATTCTCGATTGAATAATTCATATATCCCACGAGTCCAGTGTAATAGTACAGATTTTATTTATTCAAAGTAAAGCTTGTCCCTCTGTCTAGTTCCAGTTTGTGGTAGTTGTGACATGTGTAATGGAGAGAAGAGGAGCAGGATCAACTTCTTCATCTTTTTCTCCCTCACACACATCGTGTTCCCTTCCTTCAGGCCAGGAAGAGCGTAGAGACTGACATCTGTTTACCATTGGTGTCTTCGGACCTTGGTCGATGTTACACTTGACTTGTCCTTTGTGGGCACTTTTATGGGCCCTTTGGGGCATCCCTGCCTCCCTCATTTCTGTGGATCTCTCCCCTATGTTTTACGTATGACAGGGCCTCTTTCTCCTCTATCCCTTAGGCATCTGGGGAGGACGGATGCGACTTTTTTCCCTGACCATACTGCCTAAATGTCAGATTCCATCATCACCAGCTTTGCAGTGTTGGTGGGATAGGTAGGGGAAACATTATTTCCACTTGAGAAACGCTCCTCTCGTTTCTCAGGAGAGGGGCGGAAGATAGAAATACAGACCTGGGGTAAGTGCTGCGCAGGTGCTGATTGCTGCTGCGATAATGGCTGTGATTGGCTAGGAAAAGCCATGTCACAGAGAGACTCACATGTAAGTGGCAGGAGACAGGAAAGCCGCTGTCCAAGAAGGAAGCTACTTTCAGAGTATTGGTTCTATAAAGGACAGACGAAACAATAAGCTGTCTGTGCTTTACCCAGAGCGGGCAATTTAAAGTACATACGCATCCATTTTAATTGGGTGAGGGCTTGTATTCGTTGCCTAGGGCCGCCTAACAAGTCATCACAAGTGAGGTGGCTTAAAACAACAGAGATGTGTTCTCCCACAGGCGTCTGAAGTCAGGGTATCGGTGGATCCTCCCTCTCTCCAGCTTCGGGTTGTCCAGAGTTGGGGTGTCCATTGGTTGGCAGATGTGTCACTCCGGTCTCTGGCTCTGTCGTCACATGACCTTCTCCCCGTGTGTTCCCTCTGTCTCCCTGTGTCCCAATTTCCCTCTTCTTTTAAAGCTAGGAGCCCTGGTGATGTAGTGGTTATGTGCTGGGCTGTGATCCTCATGGTTGCCAGTTCAAAACCACCAATAGCTCCTCTGGGAAAGCCTGGCTTTTAAGCCACAGGGGGTCACGATGAGTCAGCATTGACTCAAGTCAAGATACCAGTCGCTGGACTAGGGCCTGCCACCCAGATTCTAGTATAATTTCATCATCACTTGATTTTCTCTGCAAAGATTTGTTTACAAATGAGTTCACATTCACAGGTGTGCCAGGAGTTAGGACACGAATGTATCTTTTCAAGGGACACACAAATCAACCTACAATCGGACTCTTATCTTTTGCCTTCTAGCTTAGCCCTGTGTTCAAAAATTATATTAATTTTAAACATGATCATTCTTTCAGGACAAAATTTAACTCTTTTTTTTTTTTCTTCTTTCTCTTTTTAGTTGTATATGAACACAGATCAAGATTGGAGAAATCCCTGCAGAAGGAAAGACTTGAACATAAGAAAGCAAAAGAAGGTAACTACATAATTTTTGGTCCATGTTTTTATCTTTGAAACAATATATACTTGCTTTACTGTTTTGGGGGTAAGACACTTCTCAAAGCAACCTAAGTCAGTGTACAGGAGGCCAGAGAAAAAGAGACGTCAAACAATGTGTTCTGTCTTGTACAATGATTCTTGCTCAAGATTGGATCTCGAATTCTTCATTCAGTTCATGTTGCCTTGAAGCAGTTCATGTACTGGTAATACCTGCATATTCTGTCAGAACTCCACGGGGGAAAAATACGAAAGAATAACAGCATACAACATCCAGGTATATAGGATAAGTCGATAGTTTGATACACACAGACCTACATATAATTGATGACATAGTTTTGTATATTTCATTTATGAACTTGTTTTTATCTTTTGGAGACGTTTATTGGCACAGTTAATTGACTTACCTTTAAAAATTAGCACAGAGCACAGGTGTTAGCAAAACTATTGACCTTTTTCAGACGTTTTAATTTTGTTAAATCAAACACAGGTCTTAAAATAGCTTAGATTTGCACTTTTCTATATTCCTTGTTTTTTGTATTTATTTATGTGTGTTCAATAGCCAATCTTGAAATGTAAGTTAGAGGTGTTCAGTCTGCTCACCTTGGTGTGAGAGAAGAGGAGGGGAAGTGGAGGAAGATTGGGTGGCTTAGTGTGTTTCTCTGATCCCTCTGTTGATCCTGTGCCAACTCTAGAAGTTTAACTTAATTAAAATCCCTGCCTAGGATTTGAGTTTTCCTTGCTTCAAATGCAGTGATTTCATAGAGCCATCTAGTGGATAACAAAGCCATAAGAGCATTAGTTTTCCTTCTCAATCTTGCGTGATTAGAGACTGCCATCTAGTGGACGGCGATTAGTCCCTCTTGTCATCAGGTGTGCTTCCCCTCCCACTTTCAAGGAGAGTGCATCACAAATACACTAACTGCGTTTCTAACATTTGTCTATACAGTGGGCTTTGTTCAGGAGACATTCATAGCTCTGAGACAGTGTTTCGCAACATGGGGGTTGCAAACCCTTTGGGGGTCAAAGGACCCTTTCACAGGGGTCGCCCAATTCATCACAGTAGCAAAATTACAGTTATGAAGTAGCAACAAAAATAACTTTCTGGTTGGGGGGGTCACCACCACGTGAGGAGCTGTATGAAAGGGTCGCGGCATTAGGAAGGTGGAGAACCGCTGCTCTAAGGTAAGGAGCAAGATGGAACTTCAGTTCCCTTTAATATTTTTTATTGTATTGATTGAAAAAGGAACGTAAATCCCTAAGTTGATTCTTTTAAAAGAACTTTTTTCCCCCCACAATTGAGTAGAGATTGCCTTTAATGTTTATGATGTCTTAAAATTCCACAGTGAATTAACTAACACTCTATTTTATCCATCTTTTATTTCTCAGATTTCCTGGTGTATAAGTTAGAAGCACAAGAAACACTAAATAAAGGCCGAGTAAGTTTGTTGTATCCTATTTTTCCTATGAAACTTGCATCAGAGGGAAATAGAGTCACAAAATGTGTCCGTCACTCTGTTGATCACAGGACTTGTTGGGTAGCGTACTCTTTTCTTTCTTTCTTTTTTTACTTCCCAAAAGGAAAGCTTTGAAATGCGTTCTTTTAAAACTCACCTCTGCTGATTGCAGTGCAGATGGTGGTGATGGCCTTCGTGTCCTAGGAATGCCACAACAAGATACCACAACTTTGCTGCATGGGACTTTATGGTTTCCACAGTGTCAGAGCTCTGAGTCCAGGGCGTTTGAAGGGCTAGGCTGGCACACACACATCTGGACCCTCCGGGGGAGGGAGGATCCTCCTCTTCTTTCTGCTCCTGTAGTTCTGGGCGTTTCTGCTCCTAAAATTTCTTGCGGATCTTTGGCTGCTTGTAGACATCTCTTTACATGTTGTTTGTCCTGTCCTGGATGAGTCTGTCCCTCTGTGTCTGCACACATCTTTCAAGACACCACTCAGGAGAGATTGGGTTTGGGATCCAGCGTGACTTCCTTAGCGTAGCACAAGAACAGTCTGTTTCCTCAAACAGGGTCGCAGCCACAGGTTATAGGGGGCTAAGATTTTGATATAACTTTTTTGAGCGGTCACACTCAATCCATAAAAGTAGTAAGTTGGGAAGAGCTTTCATCTTTACCAGGTGGAAGGTTATTTTCAGTCATTCATTCCTAGCCCCACTTTTCCATGGAATGTGATATTTTCATTGGCTTTCCTCTGTATGCATAGCGTCTTATATAATAGCTGGCCCAGATCTGGCATTCAGAAACATTTAAATGAATGAATACTAAAAACCTAAACCAGCCGTACAAAAAAGAGTCTTCCTGTTACTCTAAGGGGGGAAAAGTGAGTAAATATGGGTGTCTGAGGGTATGCAAACTGAAAAGGGTCAGCTCCTTAGATTTCCTGGACCACGTGTGACTTGCTTATAAAAGCCTGGCCAGCACTGTGGCTCTCTGTTGAACACATTACAATATGCCTGCCTTATTAGTGGCACCGAAGCAATAAAGCAAAAAGGAGCAGTCCACGTTAGACGTTTCAAAAATTATGGGAGACAGTATTGGAGGGTGGGCCAGTGCTGGCTCTGGGGTAACTGCAGGGGGCGAGAAGAGACAGAAAGCCCAGATCCGGAGAGGAAACTGTGCAGGAGCCCCTCGTTCACTGACTGACAACCAGAAGGTGGTAGGGTTCTATGGCTGCTCAGGGCAGTGGAAATGTGCTAGGCTCATGTGCAACGATGCTCCACAGGGGCGTAAATAGATGCTGCCGAACACAGAGCTTGCCCGGCACCGTGTGCCCGGCTCCACTACGTAAGCCAGGTGTCTGTCTCCCTCACCTCCCAGAGCTGGTTTCTCACTGTCCACAGTGCACTGTCCCGGCGTGGGGTGGGGCTATGTGGGTAGGCACTATGCAAAGTGGTCCTGCTTGGTTTCTCTCCTCTTCTGTCTTCTGTGCCCATCTCCACATGTTAGCCACGTGTGGGGACGGCATCTCAGGATAAGTTCCTGTGTGCGTCTAGCTTCCCTTCTGCGGAACATGAAAGGCGAGACAAAATCGTCTTCAGGGCCTGTTTAATGAAGCCCCCACTCTATGGTTTGGTTACATTGGTTATTCATGACTCAAATCTAGCTAGGGTATGGTCGTCCTAAAACCTCACTTCTGCTATAAAATCAAATCAGTGGCCCCCTAGAGTCCTGGTTCACCCATTTCAGCTCACGCGAGAGTGACATAACTGACATGTTCTCTTCAGAGTTTGATTTGGATCTAGCAGGAGAGCTAGTTTTGTTAACTCTGTGTTGACCACTTTTTTTTCCCCCTTGACAGCAAGATTCCAATAGCAGATACGGTGCCCTGAATGTCCAGCATCAGATGCTGAAAGTGAGTGAAGCTTTTCGTTGTTGATGAAAGAAGGGACTCACTGGGATTTGAACCGAGTGGTGCGGTGGGATGTAAAGCAATTACAGAAAGTTTTCAGAGAGTCGATTTGTGTCACAATATAGTTTGTCATGTCGCATTTGGTTTAGACGATGCGTAAGTATAGTGTACCATCGTATTTGTCACCTGATTACAAAGAATATATTTAACTTATGATTCATTGTCTTTTAAATCTAGTACTCTGGTCACCTAAATTTTTATTTTGCCCCTCTCTATTTATCCTTTTAGATTTGTTTGTCTTCATTTCTCTCAATAACCTCTCTTAGACATTGGCTTCTGTCTTAGAGTGGAGTCAATACCTATTAAAATGCTTCCCTCGTGTTGCTACATTTAATAAGTATTCTCATACCTACCCCAGCAGCACAATTTATATCTAACGGGTCTCCTTGCTTGGTCCTTGGATAAAACTCATTACTGGGTTTCAGGAAGACCAAAAGAAAAGAGAGAGAGAGAGAGAGAGAGAGAGACAGAGATTCATTGTGTGTGTCAAGCTAGAAGAGATGAGTAATGTTGGCATGCCATTCTGCCATCTGCACAGCATGTAGGCCCTGCTGCAGCCCCTGCCCCTTCATTTTGTGTTGAGTAATGTCTTGTGTCCCAGGACAGGTAGGGCCCGGCTGTTGAATGAACCAGGACTTTTCCTATCATCAGGAATGCCGGGTGAAGAAGAAAGCAGGCATTCTTTTCCCATTAAGCATTTGGCGATTGTAGACTTTATCTAGATTGAGAGTACAGGGTAGTCATATAATCTAGAGTAAGGAAAATAAGAATAATTGTATAAACAATCGATTTATCACTGCCTCGAAGGGTAAATGTCCTTCTAAAACAAAGCAAAACCAAAAAGCGGGGCCACCAGAGAACGCTGGAAGACAGAAGAGAAATCAGTTAGGTTACTGGAGCAACATCAGGTGGAAGGGATAGTCTTGCCATTAGCTTTCCTTGTTCCCATGGTCATTTGAGTCCCTGAAAATTTCCCCAAATCATCCTCTTTCCACGTCTCTCATGCTAACGTTTTGTTTCCCCTTAATGTTGACAATTAAGATGGAGGTTATTTTTGGCCATAATCCCTAAGTATTCCTAGGAAATGTTGGGGAGACAGAGGGGAGCTGCAGGCATGCAGTGCAAGCTCGGGGCGACGAGGTCGGTTTCCACTTGTTCTCTGTTGCCCAAGTTACGCTCTCGGGAGATCCTTTCTGGACGGAGCGTGTGCAGACGCTGCCCAAGTTCTCGTCTTTGCAGAGTCAACACGAGGAGCTGAGGAAGCAGCACGGCAGCTTGGAAGAGGAACATCGCAAACAAGGGGAGGACTTCAGTCGCACCCTGAACGACCACAAGCAGAAGTATTTGCAGCTGCAGCAGGAGAAAGAACAAGAACTGTCTAAGCTAAAAGGTGTCTGGGAATATAACGAGCCCGTTGCTATGAAAATAAGTGTTTCTGTGAATGTTGCGTTAGCATGACAGACTTTTATTTTATCGGCTTCTACATCGTGAGGGATTGATCCGGTGACTCGTTAACAGCCACTTGCTGTTATGTCGTATTTGTCCTTTTCTTGTGGGTTTGTTTAGGGAAGCATCCTAGGTTACTTCATGTTTCTCGGTGGGCACATGGGGGCAAGCCGGCTCCTGTGTGCACGTGACAAGACATTTGGCATCTCTGACCCCAGCCCATTGCACCTCATCAGTGCTCCCCAGTTGTGACCAGGGAAAATTGCTCCTTCTATTTCTGAAACTCTCCAAAGGGCCAATAATCTTCCTCTTGAGGTGCTGAGCACTAAACGAAGCTGCCAAAAGCTGAGGTTCTAGAGCAGCGGTTCTCAACCTGTGGGTCGCAAGCCCTTTGGGGGTCGAACAACCCTTTCACAGGGGTCGCCCAATTCATAACTGTAGCAAAACGACAGTGATGAAGTAGCAATGAAAATACTTTTATGGTTGGGGGATCATCACAACCTGAGGACCTGTACTAATGAGTCGCGACATGAGGAAGGTTGAGAACCACTGCTCTAGAGCCAGAAGGCCTGGGTGCATTGTAATGGCTTGTCCATCACTACTCATTATATGACCACGGGCTTGTTGTATAATCATTGAGGTTGTCTTTGTCCTCGTCTGTAGGGTTGGGATAATCATAACAAGTATCAGCCTCATTGGGCTGATGTTGAGAATTAAGTCCTTTTTGTAAAACGCCTAGAATTGTTGCTACCCTATGGGAAATAGTCAGTATGTGTTAGCTGTCTTCAGCCTTGTGACAATCATCCTTCGATATTTTCAGAGAAAAATGGAACAACATTTTTTGCTTCTCTGGGTGTGTGAGAAAAAGCCATCAACACATTTTACAATAAAATATTCAAGTGGTAAATAACGTTAAGATATAGGAATACTTCAAAAAGGCAGCAGGAACATGTAAAAAAAAAAAAAGGAATCCTGGTAGCATCGTGGGAAGCAATTCCCTGGTTTTGATAGGGTACTTCATTTACATCTGATGTCACCCACAAGGGAAGCTGAGTGATAGGTAGTTGGGACTGTGCTGTACTATTTTTGTAACTTTTTGTCCATAATATTTTCTAAATTTAAAGCTGAAGGAGGTAGTAGTCTCCTGGCAGTAGTACAGATAGACTCAGGTCAGTTATGCATAGAATTCCCCAAGAGATGTAGATACTTGTTAGCGAAGTGGCAGGTGAGGAGGGGTGTTGGAGACCCTAAGGGAAGAAAGGCTGACTGCGGAAATTGCTCACTGAGGTGACTCAAAGAAGGGAGCTGCAGTGTCAGATGGCAGCTACACCTTGTCCGGAGAGAAGATGCTTCATTGGATCCACGGTTTGTTGTTGCTGATGTTCTGGCTATAACTGTCACTGATTCAGCCCCCACACACGGCCACCTTTATGTATAACAGAGAGAAATGCTGTCCGGTCCTCTGCCATCTTTGTTAATAGTGGCATGGTGCACTATTTAGCATTTGAAAAGCTAAGCTAAGCTAGTGTGTTATACTGATCTGTTATTCATTAAGGAAGGAGAAATAAAAATAGCACATAAAATATGTTAGGGACATGGTGTTTTGTACGTGGTGTGCTTTAAGAGATTTACATAAATTGGTATGACTGTAGTAATAGCCCTGAAAGGCAATTTTTGATGTTCACTCTTAGGTGTAGTCCTGTGTTTGAAACAAAGCCCACGTGGAGTAAAATATTAACCAATTATGGACAGAAGTCAGAAAGTAGCGTCACAGGGGTGAGGAGGACACCAGTAACTTGAATACTAAATGATGTAAGGCCCGTAAGCTAGCCTGCACTTCCTAGCACTCAGGACAAAAGGAAATACAGTGCACTGTGGGACTCTTGCGATCAGAAAAGAGCCTTGAAGGTACAGGAAGTTAAGCACTGGGCTACAAACCACAAGTTCAATAGTTCAAACCCACCCACCACACCACTGAAGACAGATGTGATCATCTGCTCTTTTAAAGATGAACGGTCTCAGAAACTCTGCCCTGTAAGGTTAATCAGAGTCAGAGAGTGGGTTTATTAGGAAAAGAGAGTATACTGGTGTCTTAGGAAAGAGAGCATAGTGTTTCTGGTACCAGTTTCAAGTAGAAATTCCTTGGAGACCTTAAATAAAATAGTGGGCAGTGACTTTGATGAAACTTTCATAAACAGCCTTCACCTGAGCATTTTTTTTATGATCCCTTGTAAAAATTCAGAACAGTCCTTTGAAGCATACTGTCTGCTGGCCAGTGTACAGGGTGGCTGTGCTGTGAGTCGGAACCAGGTCACGACAACTAACTGCAGCAGCACGCATGTTTGATCTGTTCGGCACCTAATCCATGTTGTCTTTGGTAGTTTGATGTGATCCAAAGAGAGACTGCGAATTCTTGGGGAGGTTGAGCTGATTACATGTAAACGTGGATAATTATTCTTTTCGTTATCGTTATAATGGCTGGCACCTAACGAATGTTTACCATTTGCTGACAACCCTATGAAACTCTTCATACGGATGATATTATTTGATTATGATAACAACTGTAAGATAGTCATTGTGTTTCACCTCGTTAACAGATGACGTTGAGGTGGACCAAAGTTAAATAACTTGCCCAAGGTGATACTGCAAAGGCTGGGAGCCAAGCTTCAAACGTGGTCCAGGAGCGTTCCACGGTCACTACCTTCATGACCTGGAATCTCTTTAAACAATTTCAAACTTGTTTGCTTAGAAATGTGTATAAGTGTGGTATGGTGTGGTGTAGGGTGTGTGTGTGTGTGTGTGTGTGTGTGTGTGTGTATGTGTATGTGGTGTGGTATGGTGTGGTGCAGTGTAGGGTGTGTGTGTGTTTCCAGGGTGTGTTCCTTTTGAATGACTTCCTGGGGTTTTTTTTTGTTTCCTTTGAAAAATCTGTTATTACCAAGTTTGGCATCCCAAACATTGGCCACATTTCCCATCTCTAGTCTTGATTTCTCCCCCAAACTCAATTGTGAATTTAATACCCAGGGCTCGGGCTAGGACCTGAAGAAGTCAAGGTGGCTGGAAATGCCATGAGACCTGGTGACTGACACTGATTCAGGGCTGAACGACACCCTGGAGAGTTAGGACCCTGTCTACCGGATGTGGCTGCCACTTAGGCGTGGCGTCCTTAGGAACAGAGAAGCACAATCTGCTGTTGAGTGTGCTCCGGTTCATGGCCACCGTGGTGTGACGTAGTAAAACTGAGCTCCGCTGGGCTGCTTTTGGTTGCAATTTTCACCAAAACAGATCAAGAGGCCTCTCCTCTACAGCGTTGTGAAGTGGCTTCAAACTGCCCACTTTCTCGTTACTAGTTGATTGCAAGCATTTTGTGCAACCAGATCCTTTGCGTAGGACAGTCCCAGCATAATTGCTAACAGCACAGACCTTCGCTCTCCAGTGTATCTCTCATTGGAGAATGAATGCCCCAGTCAGCCCGCTTCCTGCCCACACCCGCAGGGTGGTGTCACATCAGAATTGGCCTCACGTTGCCAGACCTTGTTAAACTCAGATTCTTGATTTCTAAACAGTGATAGTTATTCAAATGTGGAGGACCCTGTACAGGACGCCACAGTGAGGGGCTAAGAATGAAAATATGTTGGTGGGTTGGATTTGGCACAAGGTCTACCAGTTCATTGCCTCTGATGTCCAGATTCAGGATGTGAGCAATTCCCTAGGAGTGTCTGCGCCCTAACGTTTGGGTTTGGGTCTCGGGAGATGTCTGAGTGTGCTCGGACTGCTCTAGTTGCTCTAGCAATACCTTTCCTATAGCATTGGAGGTAGACTTTGCATGGTCAAGAACTTAATAGTGGGAGAAGGAAAAACATATAATTAGAATGTTTGAAACAGATTTCTTAGTGCTCCTGTAACAAGTGAGTGTCGTCAGTGAACAGAAATTTGTTGTTTCACAAGTTTAGGAGACTAGAGGTGCAAATTCAGAGCTCTGGTCCTAGGGGAAGGCTCTGGGTCTGCTCTAGGCGGAAATCATTGCCTCAGTTTCTCTAGAGATGTCTTGAAGAACTCCACATGCCATCTTTCTTTCTCCCTTGGTCCTTACATCTCTGTGTTCAGTCACCCACTTTTATGTCTTTACACGGTTATGGCCTCACTAATGTAACAAAGAAAACCCTGTTTGCAACTGGAATCCCGTTCACAGATGGGGGTTAGCATTCACATGAGTGCTTTGGGGGAAACACAGTTTAATCCATGACAGGTAAATGGAGCTCTCTGTCTTTCTCAGTGCCTGTATCCAGCCATCCATCCACCCTCCCATCTTTATCCCTCTGTCTCACTATCTCTATCTCCATCACCTCTCCAGGCCTGTGGGGATTATCCACGCTATGAGAAATGTGCTCAGTGCTTTTGGCTGACTCTGTTTCTAAGTTAAGGGAACTCAGATGTTAGGCCACCTCTGCCCTGTTTCACTTTATTCCCGAGGGATTGTTTATTGGCAGAAATATCGAACTCCTGAGTAATGAAAAATCCTTAACTTCTTACTTGATGTGGAGCTTGTTTAAAAGTACTTCAAGTGCTGAATCAGGTTGCACCTGGATGTCCACCTGAATCCATGCCACATCCCAGTGGGGTTTTGCTGAACGGGAGTATTGTACTCACAGGTTGCACCTGGATGTCCACCTGAATCCATGCCACATCCCAGTGGGGTTTTGCTGAACGGGAGTATTGTACTCAAAACAAACTCAACGTCAAGTAGGATGAGGCTTTATACGTGAAGGTAGTAAAATCATCAGCCTGGAAATCTTAAGGCTTTATGCATGTTTCTTCTCTTTCTAAAATAGAAACTGTGTATAATTTGAGAGAAGAGAACAGACAACTGAGGAAGGCACACCAAGACATGCACACGCAGCTCCAGGACGTGAAGGTAAACCCCAGCAAAGGCCGCCCTGGGCAGTGCTTGTCTGCGGTGCTTCTCGCTCGGTCCTCACGTCGACCCGCTCGCTCGACACAGCCAGGCTGTCGGTGTGGGCGTTGCATCAGTCAAAGCACGCCGCCTCTGCACCTGAAGCTGAAAGACTGTCTCAAGATCAAAATGTTTTCCCTAATACCAAACTGATCCTTTGCGAGAGGTGGTTGCTTTTTAATACGCCTTGGTTTGTTAACAGTGGACTGTTTGGTCCTTTGTTTTCACTGTCTTGTGGTTGCAGTGTTTTGGTATCCTATTTGAAAGTTTGGAGTACTACGTAAACTGTAATCTTGTTACAACGATTGTTTTTGAACAACAAACAGTGACAGCACATAAGAAACAAAAATAAATAAAAGGCATGGAACATTTGAGTGGTCCTACCATTGTCAGCCAAAGAGAATTTGCCTTCAGATGCTAAAAGCTCAACGTGTACAATTCTTTTTTATGTAGCAACAGCATAAGAATTTACTCTCCGAGCATGAACAACTTGTAGTGACTTTGGAAGACCACAAGAGGGCACTAGCTGCTGCACAGGTTAGCAGGGTAGCAGCCTCTCTGATTCCTTTCAGTCGGCTTAACCTTTCTGAATTCCTTTATGCATGTAGCGTCTTCAAAGTCAATCTTCCATAAGTTCCTTAGGACAAAGCTATCTTATTCCAAGGCACATGCATGCTCTCCAAACACAATCAAGAGAAAATTTAATACATTTTTGACTAATTTTTACACTGTTGGATAATATATATCACTATTCCTACCCTATTCTTTTTTCCTATCTACCGGCCTATGCACACAGTAGTCTAATATCTGTTTAAATCTCAGAAATCATTCTATATGCATGATCTTTTTCAACTCTCTGATCTGGGTTAGCTCTCAGTGAAACAATAAGATCTATATGATTTTTATGGTGTTGAGTCCCTAAATTTATTATTGTCAGACTTTCTTTCATCCCTACTCCTGCGTTTTCAGTATTCCAATGTAGTCCACTGTTTTTAAGACTAAGCTTATGCACCATGGGGAAAACTATAGAGCGTAAGGAGACTCGTGTTGCTGGAGAAGGAAAAGCAAGAACAAAGTCTAGAACAGCCGTAGGCACAAGCTAAGCCCTCGACAGATATTTATTGAATAAGCAAATAATGAATTCAAGCTTTGGAGAGCCTAGGAAAGTAAGACCAAACTGGGGTGTTTTACAGCTTTCTAATAGAACAAAGAAACAGGGATGGCTAGCCTAGTCACTGTATTAAACTAGATCAGAACTTTTCTCTTTGGTCGAGAAATTAAGAGGAAAGGGCCAAAGGAAACTAACCAACTGTGCTTATCAGGAGATTAGAGAGAGCGCACTCTGAGAAAGCATAAGGTGCAGGGCCCTGGTCATCTCAGAGGCTCTGTAGCATCGGTGTCTGGGGCCTCGTCCAAAGTTACCACTGATTCAGGGCTTCCCTACTAAGCTGTAAATCTGCGCAAATGCTTTTCACCTGCATTCATTAAACTGATGTTTGAAAGAGTATATTTTATTCAAATCCTTCTTTATAAAAGGATTTATTTGATATGAGAGTATTACTCATTCTGAAAAATGTGGCAAAGTGTGTTAGCAAAACAAACAGCACAGCTCCATGTGTACTGTAATAGCCACAAATATTAGACTAAGCAGCAATTTGAAAACCAGAGAAATGTAAATAAAATAATTCATTGGAAGACTAAACCACGTACACTTGGAGAATTATTGGCAGGATTTTATATTAGGATATATTTTTGTAAATATATATAGTTTTATATTTCTTTAATCACTGTGCCATCAGGGCTCCTTAAACTCTTCAGTATTATTTTCCCCCTGCCTTTTTAGTTCCTTTTATTAAGACTGTTACACATAATCTGCATACATACAGACATCAATTCTGATTTATAGGGCAAATAGAACCACTCCCCAGGGTGTCTGAGACTGTGACTCTTTATAGGAGCAGACAGCCTCATCTTTCTCCCAGGGGGTAGATGGTGGATTTGAACTGCTGATGTTGTAGTTAGCAGCCCAAGATGTAACCAACTACTGCACCGGGGATCCCTACACATACATTGAATGACCTGATTTCAGACCTTAGTTCTAAGTTAATGTCAGTTTGGAAGAGAGGAATAAAAATCCAGCCTCGTTTCAAGCTTTCCAACATTGCAAAGCTCAGGACAAGGAATGTTCCAGGAAATAAACAAATAAAAACAAAAAATTGTCAGTGAACCAACCCACTGCCATCAAGTCAATTCTGGCTCATGGCCATCCTGTATAAGGTTTCCCAGAGCAGCTGCTGGGTTTGAACCACTGATCTTGTTAGCAGCCCACTGACTAATCCAGTGTGCCACTAGGATTCCCTGATATTTGAGCCTAAATTGGAGAAAGGGGTGGTCTGAGTGGTTGTATACATCCACACACTCGATTTTAAACTACGAATCTTTTCCTCTGCATACTCACGCAGATGGGTAAAAGATATATACACATGTGTTTGTATCATGTGTTTTAAATTCTGTAAGACTGGTTCCGTAGTTGTCTTGCCTTTAATAATGAGATAGTATATAGATATGTGCATATTAGAAGAAGGTTTATAAAACTCTAGCTCTTTAGTGCAACCTGGAAAACTAACATCTATCAGATATTTCCTTGTTTCGTTTATCTCTAATCCCCATTTGCATGTGTTCAAAAATGGTGACGCATGTCACAGTAAGAAGAGCTAATCAGTGCATGGGGACGCTCTGCCTGTTTCTCTCAACTGGTATTTAGGTATAATATTTTGGTCTAGTTTTCCAATAAACCCAAATACTCACTTATGAATGCTCTTTTTCCTCCTCAAATTGTGCAATTTACGCCCCATTGTGCAATTGATATGCAGACTCAAGTTGCAGAATATAAACAACTGAAAGATACTCTGAATCGGATCCCAAGCTTTAGAAAAGCCGATGTAACCAACGAGCAGAATATGACCCTGGTGGCCCATTCTCCGCATGGTGATGGCACCAAAGAGAAGCTAACTGGAGGGTCCCGGGAGGTAAGGAGTGTGAACTGAGGGTTGGCTGGTGGGGAGGTCACTTTCTCAGCAGGCTGTCACCAGGTGAGCTGTTCTCAGGATTGCCTATCCTCCCTGCAAATTGAAACCCAAACAATACTCCCTGCCAGCGAGTCGATGCCAACTCGTTGCAGCCCTTTAGGACGGGTTGCACTGCACTGCCCTTCTGAGTTTCTGAGACTAAGAACGCAAAGCTCCACCTTTCACCCAGGGAGGAGCTGATGCTTTCCAATTGCTGACCTTACTGGATCGCAGCCCAGTGCATCACTGCTACACCGCCAGGGCTCCTCTCCCGCACAATAGGGGTCCTCAAATTTTAATGTCTGTCCACAATCTCAAAACCTCAAACTCACTGCCATCGAGTCAATTCTGACTCATGGCAGCCCTATTGGACAAGGTCCAACTGCCCTTTGGGTTTCCGAGACTACAGCTCCTTACAGGAGAAGAAAGCTTCATCTTTCCTCTGAGGAGCATCTGCAGGTTTTGAACTGCTAACTTCATGGTTAGCAGCCCAGCTTGTAACCACTGCACCATCAGGGTGCTCCCTGTCTAGAGTCTAGGGCTTGTTGTATGTAACACAGATCACTGGGCCCAGCCCAACAGTTTCTGATACCCTTGCTGGACAGTGAGAGACCTGTGAATTGGCATCTCTCAGTGGCTCCGCTGGTCAGGGAGCCCACTTTGAGAACCACTAATTACAGTGTTTTTGAGATAGACTTTGACACTGGTTTTGTCTTTATTGGTTTGATGTATTTGTCTTAAGAGACTTAGCGTGCCTAGATTTTAAAGAATTTCGTTTTGTTTTGAGTTTTCTGTCTTTTTAGTTTCAGTACAGTGAGAAGATTCAACGATTGCAGGACATTATGTGACAGTAAACCCACTCAAGGTTTAAAATAGATAATATTTCAACTGGGTACAGTGGTAAGTCCATGTAAACATGGCCACATTTGCATAAAAGACATTTATAAAACCACCACCGGTGTGAGTACTAGTCTCATCATTCACTTTATTCTTCCTTGTTTTTCGTGTAAATTAAGCCTTGCTTTAATATAGCTCATGAGTTGGACATTAGACCTAGTGTCACCCTTTTAAATTCTTTCAAGATTGTTTTTGCAAAATCACCTGTGTAACAAAAGGGCGGAGTCTGACTGCCTGACCCCCTGACACAATTGTTTTTAACAAGACCCAATTGAGATGTCCAACTCTTAGAGTTGCATCTTGGGGACATAATTAAGTTTATGTTTCGGGCACTCCGTCGTATACAATTGTCCTCAGTCAGTCAGAGCCTGCCGCCATGGACAGTCAGTATCCTCTGATGACTGGATGGTCTAAGCACTTAGCTGTCAACCATGAAGTGGGTAGTTAGAACCTGCCAGCCAGCCTCTCGGCAGGAGAAAGGTGAGGCAGTGTGCTTCCACAAATACGGTGGAGCGCGTCTCCTCTGGCCTAAAGGTGTGGTGTGAGGCAGAAGGGACTGGGTGGCAGTGGATTTTTTGTTTATACTTGATCCACCTTTTAACGGCTCCGAGCTTCAGTTTTTCCATCTGTGAGGAGAGAGAGTTGTTATCTAGCCTTCCTCACAGGTGTGTTGTAAAGACACATGGCAGGTGAGTGACAGCATTTAGAGTCTTCAAGAGAAAGGAGATCTCATCTGAAGTCAGGCCGGTGCTATGTCATCTTTGCCACATATGGCAAGACTGTTGCCAGTTATCCTCAGGTATCTCAGAAAGGATTTCCCCCCCTCTCGTTTATGATTTAGACCACCCAGCTCCTCAAATCAGATTAGCTGTATTTCTCCTAATTTACTACTAGAAACTTCACATTTATTTCAATTATGGGAGAGCAAGCCAATGGAAGAAATTATATATAGCCAAAAAGGAAAGATGAGATATATTTTCCTGTTGGTAGTATAGCAACTATTGTTTTTCCCCCTAACTGATGAAGAGTACATGAAGGTCTTTGAAATTTATAGGGAAAACTGACTTCAGTTAAAAAATTATAGAAAGAGTACCCTAAAATCTACCCTTTTTTTCTGTTCAAAGTTTTCTGTTCTAATACTAAGTCATCTCAAAACCCTCGCTGATTTATGAAGAAGTGTTTCATTGTTTCTGGAATCGTGCACATTGTTTTTGACTAATATAGATGTCCCTGTTAGTATGATATTATTTTTAATTCAGCCAAACTGATAGAAATAAACCCAATGTGTTCATTTAGTCTTTGTCCTAGTGAAAAACCAAAACTGACAGTTAAGGGAGTTACTTAGTTATTGAATCTCTCATAGCCTGAGAGTTTTCCCTCTTTTTGATCTAAGGACAAATGATCGCTTTTGAGCGCACGGTCTGTTTCTGACACATGAGCCCTACAGCTCTTACTCTTGATGCTGCGTGTTGTCTGAGGGGCACTTGTGCTTACGTTATCTTTGTTTTATAGGTGAGTTACACACCTCACCTATACAAGAAGCGTTAAGTAGCTCCATTGCAGCTGTATTTTAAGTCAGTACTATCTATGTATAGACTTCTTAAGTTTGCTGATCTTATAGATGGATAGCTACTATGCTAAAGAAGGTCTGTCACTACTTTTGAATCAGAAGAATGTCCTTCCCCATGATGTGCTTGGCCTAGGTGTCTCCGAATAGTGATGTGAGGCAGAATGTGGAAGCAGTTCCTGGAAGAACAGAAGAAACCAAGCCTTCCCCTCCCGCTCAGAACGGGGCTGAATTTCAAGCTCTCGCAGAGCTGAACCAGCAGGATGCAGAAGCCAGAGAGCCTGAGGGGCGCCAGGTGGAGGAAGAGCACAGGAAGGCCCTTGAAGAGGAGGAAATGGAGCAGGTCGGACAAGCGGAACATCTGGAAGAAGAGCACGACCCATCGCCAGAGGAGCAGGATCGGGACTGGAAGGAACAGCATGACCAACAAGAAGCCAACCTTCTGGAAGGGCACCCTCCTGCGGAGGTACCAGCTCATCCACCTCAAAGCGACTAGACTTGTGCTTTGTTCTTTAGGGTAGTGGGTGTGGCTTTATTTTTTAATATTAAAGGGGAAAAAAAACCACATCTATGATAATCTCTAAAATGAAAATTTGAGGGACTTATTTAAATATCCAGCATACATAATTAAATTTTCTCTTGTAATGTTAATAATACAGCTATGGAAGAAATTATTTATATGCTTAGAATGAGAAAGGAAAAGCGCTGTTGGTGGATAGAATAGTCTTCTCTTGGTATTAGCAGCAATCTCGCTCAGGGAGATTGCTGCTAATACCCCTCCACTGGGTAGAGTGCACCTGGTTAGACACCTACCTTCAAACCCCACAAGCATCTCAAAGCTGAGAAAGCAGCATTTCTGTGTGAGCCAAAGTCGACTTCTTCCTGATCCATTTACTGTCAAATTAATGTTGGCTTTTGCCACTCTCACCATCAGAGCGTTAAGCGGTCATCTGAAAATCGGTCTCATCCCTAGGGATACTCCACAAAGTGAGGATAGTTAAACAGTGATCCTCCCCTGCATGAGCGTGCTTCACCAGTCTGGTCACACACCCTTCCCTCATTGAAAAGTCCCCTTTCATAGCAGTCCTGTTCACCGTTTCTTACAAACACAGCCACTATTAAAATAAATGATATTTTAAAAAAGACTTGAAATTATTAACTGATACCTCAGGCACTTAGGTGCCTTTTCCCTACTGTCTCTAAACTGGTCCCCAACAATAGGTTACCTCATCTATACAAAGATGCTCATCGCCTCTTATATAAAACTCTGAAGCTCTGTCTGGTCTCAAATTTGCCAGGACATAAATCTGCCTGGGGTTTAGGTTGAGTGGGTCTGAAGGCCTAGGTAGTTCTTTCGTGCAGTTTCAAACTTAGTGTAGAAAAGCCTTCCCCAATCTGGGTCCTTCGTAAACATCTTCAAATGTAGTCCCCCAGGAGGTTCAGTTGCCCTCAACTACACTCTTTTTTCCTTGATGGCGATCGAGTGTGCTATGTTGGGGCAGTGGGGACAGATGGGCAACCCAACTAGGAAGCAAAATTTAAAAGTCCTGCACCAGGTTATCCTCTAATAAGAAGTTATTTTCTGTCTTCTTACTCTTCCTCCTTCCTTCAGGGTAGATTGCCTGCTTTCCCATCGTAATCTGCAATTTGACGCTCTTTTTTTTTTACTTTTAGTTGTATTTAGCCTGACATTGGTATCTGTATCACTAATTAGCATCCTTAAGCTTTCAACGTGCTACAGAAAGTTTTAGCATTTCAGTTCACAAATTACTCCAATGAATGAGAGGTTAGTCGGTACCCATTTATATCTGAGCCTTTTTAGCATAAGTGTAAATAAAGTTTGAAACGTATTTCTTCTGGTGTACTCTCTGCTCCATTTGAGAAGCGGCACATTGAAAATCTGCTGTGCGCCAGCAGATCGGCACCCTGGCCTGCTAAACCAAACCAGGGCAATTGGGAGAAAGTTGGGAAATGGGAGTACTGGTGCTGGGAGACCTTGGGTATTAGGGCTCCTGGGTTTTGCATGAGAAGCAAATGAAGTGTTGGGCGATCCAGAGAGGGTGACTGCTTGTTCCCTGCCAACTTGCCTTTTCCCTAGGTATATCCTTCTGCCAAGCCAGTTGGCAAATTCCGATCACCATTTGAGGAGCAGTTAGAACAGCAGAGACTAGCAGCGAGGCAGACGGAGGAGGCTCAGCAGCTGAGAGAACGCCAGGAAGCTTTACATCAACAGAGGCTCCAGGGACACCTGCTTTGGCAGCGGCAGCAGCAGGAGCAGCAGCAGCAGCTTCGGGAGAGAGAGCTGGCCCGGGAGAGAGAGCTGGCCCGGCAGAGACAGGTCCAGCACGAGGAGGTTCAGCAGCAGCGCCAGGAACAGCTACGGTAACCTCCCCTGGTGATGGGCCGAGACAGCCTCCATCTGGTTTTCTTAAGTAGATTCAAAACAGTTTTGTGCATGTGTCTCCCATGAACTCGAAAGGCTCGTATTGCCCATGTAGGAGAGATCGTACTTCCCAGGAATCTTGTGAAAGTGTGTATAGAATCTTTGTTATACCCAAATATGTACTTTGTATTTAAAAGTATGGCTTTAAAAAGTTATTTTTAATCTCATTTATTTCTACTTTAAAAATAAATTCCCTTTGTAGAACTGTGCCACTTAGTTTGTGTCACTGAATCTCTGATGTCTGTGTCCCTGTAGGCAACAAGCTCGCTATGATGCTATGGACAAGGATATTGTTCAGGGAGCAGAGGACCAGGGTATCCAAGAAGAAGAAGGCGGTGGTGAGATGTCTTAAATGATGAGTGTTTGAGAAATTGATGTGGCAATCGTACTAACATCACACGATCTACTTGCCTGACTAAAGGCAGATTTGTGAATTACATGTCTCTTGTTGCTCTTATAGATATTTCTCAGTTTACCACGTAGCCCTCATCCAAGACAGGATCACTTAAGATAATCTGTTTCCAAACATGTTCCCCATCTTCCTTTGGCATGCTACATAGTTCTTTCTGACAAATTATCTTAGAACTTTTATGATGTAGCAAACGTCTACGTTCTCTTTGGCCCTTGGACGTCTTGAGATCATTGTCTCAGAATGTTTCAGCTTCAGTTGGTAGTACTTTTCGTTTATGGTGCACATCTACTACGCATTGATCTGCTGTTGCCTTACTGCTGTCTTCAAACCAGAAAGCGTTCATCTCTGGCAGAACACTCCTACAGGGGTAAGCATTCTTTCCTTAAATCTAGAGAAGGGTGATGACACAAAGTCGCTCCATAGTTTATTCTGCTATTATAAAATAGCCCTTAGAGTTAAAAAAACAAAAACAAATCAAGAAACAATACAGTGGTTGAGTGCTCGCCTAACCTAGCTGATCCCTGGGAGAAAGCTGTGGTCGTCTGCATCCATATAAAACTGGGCAGCCACGTGGGCCAGCTAGAATCAGCTCACTGGCAGTGCCTTTGACTTTTTATTTGCTTGTTTATAGTTAAGACGTTGTTTTCCTTTTGTCCTTCATGTGGACCTTCAAGCTCTTTTGTTCCATTATCAGTAAAGCTAAAGAATGGTTTGTTCGCTTTCCTATCTGATCAATAGTTCTGTGTATCCAAAACCTAATGGCAAGTTTTACCCTGCATGTTTTATAGCTTAAGGTAATGTAGGTTAAGTACTTTCTACACATATGTAATGCTTCCTCTTGTATCTCACCTGTCTTAAAATTTATTTTTCTTCTCTTTGTAGGCTCTTAAAATTCCCTTTAAGCATCTCTCTCTCTCTCTCTCTCTCACACACACACACACACACACACACACACACACACACACACACGATGCAAGTCAGTGTGTGTGCATAAAAGCATGGCGTGTCTCTGTACGTGGCGTCCCCATCGCCACATCAGAGAGAATAGGATGGGCCATATTCAATTTTGAGCTCTGCAGATGGAGTTATTGTCCCTCATATTTCCTGAGCCATGATCAATTTCTTTTGATATTTCCTCCAATACTACCAAAAATTAGTAGGTAAATTTTAGCAGTGGCCCAAACTAGCTGGGGTTTGTCAAGGATTGCTCTTAGTGTTCCTGCTTTTAACACAATAGAGAGAAGAACAGAAAGAAATGCCACCTCCATTTTTTACTTCAGGGGGCTGGAATGGTGTCACTTGCCCATACTCCCCTCTTTCAACGCCAAGTCTGGAAGAAGGACAGAAGTTTACTCAGCAGGCCTGAGCACTGATGGGGTGTTTTGAACTGGAAGGGAGATTCCTGCTCAACTCATTCGCGGCTGATTTCAGTTTCTTTGTTTTGCCAGCCTATGAGAGAGACAACCAGCATCAAGATGAAGCAGAAGACGATGCAGACAATGGACATGAACCCCAGGCACAGAGGCCCCGAGAAGCCAATCCAAATGCTGAGGCAGATGTAAGTGTCCCCTCTTCTGGCCATCACACTTGGAAACTCACTAGGCAGAAAGGAGATATGCACAGTTGCCCTGTGACAGGCCTCTGCGTCTAGATGTATGTGTGCTTTTGCTGATGGAGAATGAAGGTGGCTTGCATAAGCATACAGTATGCATCATGTTGTTGACGATAAACCATTGGAAATATATCATAGTCATGGGTAAATGGATAATCTGGGGACATATCAACAGGTTGTCCCTCTGAGGACTTCCAGATTGATAAAATTCTAACCAAGAATTGCAAAATTGTTATGCATTGAGATGTATAATAATGTTAAATGACGGAGAAAATGCCTGTGTGAGATTTGAGAGGGATCAGAGAGAGGACATCTATGTGACTTTTGTAATTAGCGTTTCAGCGACCATTTTCATAATGGTCTGAAGGGTGCTGAAGGGTGGGAAGTGCTATGTGCAACAACTGCCTAGCTGGGTCTTAGCTGGCCTGCAGAATACTTTACTCCTGCCAGCGTCTTGCTGGTACTGGAGAACACACTGAATAAGGAAGTATGGTTTGGGAAATGAAAAGAGTTGCTCAGATACCATCATGCTATGGAAAAATTCCCAGGCAAATAGGTAGAGAAGTTAAATGCAGGCATATCCTATTAGGGGTTTATCAAGGAAGATCAATTCATCTGGGCAGTCCAAGGCTGTGGCCCTGTCTTAAGTAAAGCAAGTACACAGTAAGAGAGAATGAGTTCCGAGTGTATCTGTCGATGGTTTGGACAACTCACTGTTTCCCTCTTGCCATCATTTGCTTATAAATCAACCACCATTGTGTTAGTCTGGATAGACTAGAGAAACAAATTCATAGATGTTCATATGTGTATAGGAAAGAGCTTTATATAAAGAGTAATTGTATATTAAGAAAACATCCCGTCCCAGTCCAGATCAAGTCCATAAAGTCTGATATTACCCCATATGTCCGATACTAGTCCATAAATTCTTCTACAGACTCATACAGCATATAGAATGATGTCAAATGCAGGACGATTACAGGCCAGTGGTGGTGGAAGCATCTAAGTGCTGGCATGGCTCTTTATGCAGCTCACCCAGCTCTGGCTGCATCAGCATAGCTCCATGTGGCTTGTCAACAGGACTGTCAAGCAGAGAGAATCCGTGTGTCCTGCCCCCAGTGAGCTATTTATCTGTGTAGTGCCTCCAAATGAGTTTATCAAGCTGTGACCTCATGGACAGGGTAAACTCCACCCCTTCATTCTTAATGGTCTCAAGTTGGCAACAGATTATGTAACAACCATAACAATGTTCATAATATTCAGTCTGTTTGCCTATGCCTGGCTCAGATGGATTCAGTGGACCTACGTTGTTGTTGTTGTTGTTGTTGTTGTTGTTGCTGTTGCTGCTCTGGAGTTGATTCCGACTCACACTGACCCCATGTGAACAGAGTGGACCTGCCCCATAGGGTGTTCTAGATTGTAATCTCTACAGGAGCAGGCCGCCAGGTCTTTCCGCCAGAGTCACCAATAGGAAGGTGAGGCGCAGACCACTGACCTTTTAGTAACAAGAAAATCGTCCTGACTGCTGCTTACCCCGTCTTGAGGTAAATGGCTGCACCACATAACCTCTCCTGAGCTGTAACATGGCATGCCTGCTTTGAGGGGTGCTAGCCCTGGGAGATCCTCAAGAAAGAACAATAGTGAGAGAGTAAGAGTGCAGGAGAGAGAACAAGAAATGGAGAGTGTGCAAAAAGCCTGCCAGTGTGCATGAGAAGGTGTGAAGGGAGCGAGGTAGGTGAGCCCTTCAGGTGCTGAAGGGTGGGAAGTGCTGTGTGAAACAACTGCCTAGCTGGGTCTTAGCTGGCCTGCAGAATCCTTTACTCCTGCCAGCATCTTGCTGGTACTGGGGAGAACACACTGGGAAACATTAGCCTATTTCTACGATGCCTTCTTTTCATTGGGAAGTGTTAGTCCCATCAACCTTTTGCAACAGCTACTTAATACTTTTCTTCATCCTCTGAAGCGAATGTGTTCCTTTTTCTTACAATTCTGTACAAATTATTGGTAAAAGTAGAAAACATCAGTCCTCATGACAAGAAATGGTGGAGTAATTAGAGCTACAGGTGAAGCTGGTTTTTTGGGGTTTTTTAATCACTGCATATTCCAGTGTTCCGTTTGCACTTGAATGGTGTCTACAGGCCAGGGGTTTAGTGATAATGGCTCAGCTGAGCTGACAGTGGGCTGTTGAGCATGTTTAGGCTCTTAAGGGAATGGAAGAATCTCCTTGTCCAGAGACGCCCCATAGAGAGTAAAGTTTACTCTGTGGCTTCTCTGTCTCCTGGAAGCATTCAGTGCTTGGGGTCAGGGTGGGGGTGGATGGGGGGGTGTTGGGGGTGTCCTCAGGCAGGCATTACCATTTCTGACCAGAGGGGCCTTCGTGCTCTACAGTGCTAACTCTATGAGAAAGCGTGCCATCTGAAAGGTACTTGGACAATTGGAACCCTTCTAAAGTTGGAAATACAAAGGGCGTTTGGTGAGCTTAGTTGCTGGGAGATGGAGTGATCTGGAAGGGTGGAAGGGCTGTTCTTCAAAGTCTATTGCCAAGGACTGTCTTAGCTCAGTTCCTTAACATGACTTTTCAGATACTCTCCCCACGTCCCCCTCTCCCCAGCCCCCTCAAACGTTGCCCTTAACTCTTTCTTCATGGCAAACCCCATCTGGGTCAGAGCAGAACTATGCTCCCTGGGGTGTTCAGTGGCTGGTTTCTTGGAAGTAGATCACCAGGCTGTTCTCCTGGGCAGCACCTGTGGTTAGACTTGAACTGCCGGCCATTTTTTGCTCAACAGCTGAGCGCTTTGACGGTTTGTACCAGCCAGGGCCTCCACTTTGCACCCACTTACACATCAAAAATTTCTTGGGAAAGGAAAGTGTGCAAAAATTCAATGTACTGGTAAAGGGTGTTACCATTTCCCCCATCCCTTTTAACTTGTTCTGATTTTCTTTCTCCTGGTCTTGTGAGTTTTGTTAGCTCTTTTTCTCGTTGCCTGTTCAGTTATGCTTTCAATACTCGTGATGGCAGTGTCTGGAGGGCACTCTGGGAATCACTTGCAGAAAAGGAGTGCTGTTTGTACTTCATTTGGATTCATCAGCCTCGGCAAAGCAAAGGCTTCACTCTTTTGGCAGCGGGAGCGTTGGATACCTGTCTTGCCTAGGCGAGCTCTGAGCAATCCAGAGAGGGACAATTTAATTGTCTGCCCACATGTGGCCTTTCAAAAGAAATTAAACTTGATCCTGGATTTTGAAGCAGGGCTTGCTTTTGATTAAAATGTTGCAGAGGGCAGCTGTGGAAGATATAAACCCAGCAGATGACCCAAATAATCAAGGTGAAGATGAATTTGAGGAAGCTGAGCAGGTGAGAGAAGAGAATCTTCCTGATGAAAATGAGGAGCAGAAGCAAAATAACCAAAAGCAGGAGAATGCAGAGATGGAGGAGCATTTGGTGGTAAGCAAGAGGCTTCTACAGAGGGTGACCGTGGGTGCTGTCAGCAGTGGGATTGTGTTGAAGGTTAGTTCCATCACCTACTTTGCCACGCTTATTGGCGGGAGGCCATTATGTGACATTATCTGCCTGCCCTGAGAGAGATGGTGATGGACATGCTGGGCTGTGTCTGGTAAGGGAGTGTTCATCATTTCCTGGCCACAGATGCGTTCCAACTGCACATTTGTGGTGGCATGCTTGCTCTTTAGCCACGAGCCCTGTGAAACCCCTCTCCAGTGTAGAGTAACCTGAGCCCTGCCTTTTGATTCCACAGATGGCAGGGAACCCAGACCAGCAGGAAGATACCGTTGATGAGCAGTACCAGGAAGAGGGGGAAGAGGAGGTAGGGAGACTTCATGCGGATTTCTGATCAGAGTACCTGGCCTCTCACATTCACTTTATAAAGAAAGCAACCCCCAGAGCATTGCCTGTGCACGCCTTGGTATAGAAATGTTCAGGAAGCTCGAATCAGGATGAGGAGGGTGTTTTGAAGAGAAAGTGCAGGCATCCAGTTAGAAGATAATAAAGACCGGCAAACAGAGTCCAGCTCTCTGGTTCTCACAGAAAATTTCAAGTTAGGAACACATCTGACACTCCAGGAATTGTGCGTTTAGATTGATGCACTCTTTCTTGGCTTGTTTTTTATAGGAATATTTTTTCCTGTCTCTCTCCCCTTATAAAACATAGAAAAGAAAAGAACAAAGTTCTGGATCCCGAGGGAGCCTGGCCTCAGGCCTGTGGCTTCCCCTGGAGCTGTCTCGGCGGTGCCTGCCTCGTAAGGTTCACCAAGCGCGCATTTATTGGAATAGACTTCACACCCCACCAAACAGTTTTGAAAATAGCTCTATCAATCCTTTTGCCCCCATCACTCATAAAACACCAGTATTTTAGTTAAACGTTAACAATAGAGAAAAAAGGTACAATATGTGAGAAGCTGAGTTGAATCAAGGGCATTGAAGAGAATTTCTTGTCACTTTGATTTCCTATTGATTGTAAATGCCTGGAACCTTAGATTGTGTGCAGGGTCTGTGTTAGTGACTCGTTCGTGTGTGTGTGTGTGTGTGTGTGTGTAGACTGGAGGGGTGAGTACCCCTTGGTTCTGTAGCCATGACCCCACAGCTCCCCACCACTGGAATTCAGCACTCAGGATTCTGAGAGCGAATGTGGCCCGAGCCCTGTGTTTAGTCTCTTAGTTGATGCTTCTCAAGTTAAAGGAAAAATAAATTAAAGCCTGTTTCTTAGCCATCTGCCTCGTGTGTGTGTGATGTCTGACTTGGCCATGAGGGAGCAGCATGAGCGGATGGACAGGCGTCAGTCTGGACAGATGCCCCTCATCTTGGAGAACTGGCTCAGGGCATGGGTGCCACTGCTGCACCCATACACCCTGTTCCTGTGGCTGCTTCTGCTGTCACCGTCCGTTGGGCAGCTGTGCAGACTAAGGCTGCCATGGGTGCTTGGTCCAGGTGAACAGAGGAGGATGTAGTGCTGTACTACCATTGGCAGCATCTCCGGTCACTGAGCTGGGGTTCCTGCCTCCCTTTTGGCAGTCTGGGGTCCACCGCACTCAAGGCCCTGTGCTGTCTTAGGAGAAAAGAGCCCTAGAGAAACTAGCGCGCTGGAGTATAGTCAGACATTCGGCAAGAAAGAGATGCTTATCCAGGCCTCTCTTGTTCCAGGATGTCTCCACTAACATCATTTTGTTCCATTATGTCCCATGCCAAGGGTCTTTAGGGGATTACAAGAGAAAAGGTTCACCTTGGCTTCTTTTTAAAAATTCAGAAGGGTAAACATAAAATTTTAATGAGTAAATACTGATTATTTTACCCCACCATATTATCATCTGTTACAGCGAAGAGAGAAACCCTGAGATCCAAGAGCAGACGGAATAGAAAGACAAGACAGGGAGATGCTGAAACTACAGGAGGTTGATTTTGCCAGTGAGGGCCTCATCCTCGGCAGCCATTCACTCATCTTCCGCTAAGCTCCCTCTGTTCTGGTGACCGGACCTAAGCCCCTTTTCTCTCTTTCTCTACCTAGGTCCAGGCCCTGATTCTTTTTTCCCAGGGCCCTGCCCAGAATTCCTGTGGCCAGGATCTCTGTCCCTGTTCCCCAAGTCCCTCTTGCATGGGCTCCCAGCTGCCATGCCCTTTCACTGAACACTGTTGCCCTGTGAGTTCTTAGCTGCAGACCTCCACACCTCTCCACTTTGCCCCTGCAGGTGCTTTGTTCCTTGTTTCTTTCTCTGCCAAATCTCGGAGACCTTCCATTGTCCCACCTGACTGCTGCGAAGCCAGGGCTGCTGCTGCTGCTGCTGCTGCTGCTGCTGCTACCTGTTCCTCTACTTTCTGTCCCACAGGCAAAACCCTTCCTGTTAGCCTTGCAGTCCTTGGAAGAAATTACATCTTGCAGGTCTGTGCTTGTTGAGAGTTACAGGTTATGAAAGTGTGGACTAGAATTCTGAACGCCAAAGACCCGAACAAGTAAAACGTGGGAATGCCGTACTGTCCCTGCCTTCTATCATCTTAGGGCAGCGCAGCTATCCTTCTAAGATTTAAAATGACTGTTATTAACAAGCCAGCTTGTTTCTTGCTTAAGTAGGTGAGCCAGAAATACATACATCTTGTCATCCCAGCCAGATCCGTGGGTGAAGTGTTCGTTATAACAAACATGGGCTGCGTGGTTGGCCTAGACAGCTAAGTAGGCAGCAGCTCCCCGAATGGGGCACTTCAGTCCCTCAGAGGCACCTGGGGATAAAGGTCTGCCAAGCTGCTTCCAAAGGGTCACCGCCGGGAACATGCCATGGAGCCAGTTCTTGTCTGGGGCCACTGTGCATTCCAATGGACTCCATAGCGGTTTTTGAATTTTGTTTGTGTTTTTCGTGAATGAGCAAACAAATCATGACCTGGCCCCAAAGTACTTGATGCATTTTAAAACTGTTTAAATATGCCAAAAACAAAACAAAAAAAGCCACACGACAAAATAGCAGCTTGAAAAACCCAAGTGTCTCAGTCTTGCCAATGACCAGATGGAGCTGAGCCTTCCAGAGAGCACCAGCATCAGGTCCTCTGGCTGCGGGCAGGGGCCAGGGCCAGGCACCCAGCTGTGTGGGATTGGGGACCTGGGAGCCCTCATGTCACCACGTGGCAGAGACTGTCATGTTACGCACACTGCTCAGCCAGCAGGGAGGTGTCCATCACCGTAGCTAAGGTTGCTATCAGCCGTTCATTTGTCACCTTCCATTCACCCCTTTGGAGCCCAGCAGTTTAGACCCCGTAAGGGTCGCTTTCTGGTTCACAGCTCAGGCCATAGCATCCTTCCTGCGTGAAGGAAAAGCTTGACACAGAGGGGAGAGCTAGCCAGCGCCCATGTCAGACGCGGGGTGTCTGTTTTATGTCAGTGGTTTTTGTTGTTGTTTCTTTAGTTAGCCATTTATTAAATTTTGCCACATTTTATGGGGCCTATTTCTAAAATGCTTAGAATTTTAGGGATAAAAATACCTCCGAAGGAGCTATGTTGGGGAGTCTGTGGTAGTCTGTGGGCTTCATTCAGCAGGACGCTGAAGGTTTGGTGTGGACATCTCAATCGTGTGTTCACATCATGAAGGATAGCATGTGGCTTCTGATTGTGAGTGCAAGCACAGTGGAAAGATCAATCCGAAAACCCCAGGCTTTTCGGTCACGGCTTTCCGATGAGTTTGAGTTTCTTTTGCCCGTAAATAGGAAGAATATACTAGGGTGTCTTCAAAATGTCTGTGGAAAATGGAATTGAAAGATACTAGAATTTTTTCAGGAACTTTTTGAAGTCCCTTCATAGTACTAAAATGGAAGGTATATCTTAGAATCTATTGTCTATAAGTCTGAAAAATTCTGAAATTTTTACTCACAGGTTACCTGAAGTATAATTTAAATCAGTGCTTTCCAATTCAGATTGTATTGTCAATAGACTGGTAAATTTTCTACCACAGAGCCCAAGACTAGAAAAGAGAGATTTTGTAAAAGGGTGATTATTCCATTAACCGGGAACATTTGTTACCTAGTAATGAACCATTGTTACTAAAGGGAAAGGATTAATTTGCAGTTAATGCCAATGCTAAAACTCAGATAGGAGAACATGTGAAAGATTCAAATCTTTACCAGATTTGATCCTTGCCTCTAGTGGGCCTCACCCACTGCTGTCCAATCAACCAGACTGCTCAGAATTCTACAAGACAGAGTAGAAGAGTAGAATCCTATGGGGTTTCTGAGCCTGTAACTCTTTTCAGCTGCAGAGAGCCTCACCTCGCTACCCTGGAGCAGTTGGTGGGTTTGGACTCCCAACCTCAAGATAGCAGCTGGTACTTAAGCCTGCACCACAGAGCACCTTAATGGGTCCTAAGAATCAGCATGTTCACAGACACCCCAAGGATGTTGATGTTTGAGGGCCACATTGATTCAAGAAGCTGCCCTAGGGGTGGCCACCCCAATGAGCTATGGGAAGTCTAAACCTCTTGAAACTTGTAATATAAAATGCCGTGTGTCTGTGCTCATATGCAGAATCTTCCGACCCAAGTCTTAAAAGCTTATGATTCCTCCTCTCTCCGTGTACCCCCCCCGGAAAACTGAAAAGCATTGATTTTTATCCAACCTCTTTATATTACAATAAGAAGTTTGACATTCAGAGAAATTAACTGAATTGTTGAAGACCACACAGCCTATTACTATTAGAAACAAGATTAGAATTCACTTAAGTCTGATTTTTATTGGCTACCATTTTGGAAGGCTTATTGGGTATTGAGCAGTTTAGCAGGAATTATCATGATGGACATCATTTCTAATTAACCCAACAAAATAATTGATATACATATATATCATACATATATATACATACAGTTTGATATATAAGGAAAGTAGCCTCATACTGGTTCAGGATCGAAATATGTGAAGACCCAGAATTATAATGCTACTCCAAAAACAAGAAAGCAAGCAAATGATATCTTCACTCCTCTCTTATCAACATGACTAGGTTCTAAGTCCCAGATCATAATGCAAAAATTGGCGTTAGAGAAATGAAGAAAGATACTTACCTGGAAGGGGAGATACCATGATCACAAAGGTGGTTTTCCCAGGGCGAGGCTTATCCATTGCACTCCGGATGTGCTGACCCCTGCGATTTCCCCAAATGTGGGAAACTCGACTGCATAATTTGTGGTAGTGGGGGACTGCGTTCGCGCTCTCCCCTGTAATAATTTAAAAGAAAAAAAGGAAACAAAAATGAAATGAAGAAATATCATATCAGATCAGAAAATGGAAAATGATTACAAGATTAAGTAATTGCCAAATCACATCATTTTGTAACTGTCAAACTACTAAGAATCATGGCCTAGCCAAGTTGATAACAAAACCTTAATCATTACAACCAGTGTTACTCCTGCTATGTACCTTGGGATTCTTTACTGCCACTTGTCCTTTGTTAGTGCACAAAATAGTTGGGTAGTAGAGTCTTTATAATTGTCATATGTAGGAAATACGAGATCATAAGACATTGATAAGTTAGGGCCAGGTATAATGACACTTTTGGAAGTGAATTATATCATCAGCTGTTACTCTGAAAACTGGCAATATTTTAGGAAAGAATTAAGGATGTATCTTGTCTTTGCTGTATAGACTATGCCTTAGGGTAACTAACTAGTCTGTGGTTTAGAAAGCCAAAAATTATGTACTGTAACTCTTTACAGGAGAAATTTGCCTACCTCTGGTTTATATGTTCTCTGTACCATACTGTATAACTTCGAGTTATTTTCCTCTGGCCCCAATTATACCACGTTAAGTATTTTCTAATCATTTTTTCTCTTATTAAGGTTCTTTGGACATCAGCTTAATAGAAAATGACATTTTCATGGCATGTTAACAGCAATCAATAAGGACACTTCAAAAATTTAGTGAGATTTTAATCCATCAGAGTTTAATAAAGTAAAAAATAAGTACATCACCATTTTCGTTCCCATGTCCTATAGAATCTGTGGGGTGTTACTATGGGGTCCTTTGCTTAGAGACAGAAGTGATGTCATGGACCACTGAGCGAGCCATTCCAAACCAACAAGCCCAATAACCTTGTCGAGCTCACTTATGAAGTCCAGACAGGACAGAGTAGAGCTGTTTCATTGAGGTTACAAGGCCATAAATGTTTGCGGACGCAGACGACCACATCTGTCCTCTATGGAGCCACCAGCTGGAGGTTCGCAGGAAGCACTTAACAGCTGTGTCCCCAGAGCTCCTTGATAGAGCCCTAAAATGAGAAAAGGGCCATTTCTTTTTAGCTGAATCACAAGGGAAATGTGATTGCACAAGATGCTCCCCAGAGTGTTCTGGCTTCCAGGAAGAGGCTGGTTAGAGCAGTTCGTAGAGGCTTGGTTCTTAGGCGAGTTCTGAGGAGTCACATCAGTGGGCTCCTGACAGGCTGTAGTACTGCCTCATGCTTAACTGATACTCACCATTTGTAAAACGATTCAAATGGCTGAACCCTTTGGCCAGAATGTGCTCTGTAGAGCAGATGGCAAGTAAGAAAATGAGTGACTGGCTGTTGGTGGAATGTGATCATATTCAGTAGAGGCTGTTTAGCGAAGTACATTATGCTGCTTAATTTTATTTGCATTTTGCAATAAATAATTGTGATCAATGAAACAGCAATAATTAATAGAGTAAATAAAAACCGAAAAACCAAACTCACTGCCTTGAGTCAATACTGACTCATAGACACCTAATAGGACAGGGTGGGATTGTCCCTGTGGGGTTCCAGGATGGTGACTGCTTATGGGAGTAGAAAGCCCCATCATCCCCCCCACAGAGCACCTGGTGGTTTAGAATTGTGGGCCTTGCTAATTGCTGCTCAACCCGTAACCACCACTTCACGAGGGCTCTAGGAGAGTTCATAACGGAACCCTAAGTGGAGAAAAGTAATGTTAAAACACTAAACTGAGGTAGGGCTGTGAGGCACTGACGTAGATTATTTCCTGAAGAAATTAAATAATCACGCACTGTTTTCTAGATATTTTTAGGCAGGGGAAAAAAACCTCACCCTGAATTATCAAATGAATGTAGTAGGTTGTTACTATCTACATAAAGGCAGCAGTGTCTTTTATGTACTTTTACAAATCAGATTTTTTTCATTGATTGATTCATTCAGAGGTCCTCAAACTTTTTAAACAGGGGGCTAGTTTGCTGTCCATCAGACCGTTGGAGGGCCGGACTATAGTTTTAAAAATAAACCATGAACAAATTCCTATGCACACTGGATGAGTTGGCTGCTTAGCAGGACAGGCAGTGGCAGCAAAAATACCTGGTGGGCCGGATAAATGTCCTCGGTGGGCGGCAGTTTGAGAACCCTTGGATTAATTGATTCCATCATTCATTGGCACGTTTGTGCCACAGACTTAGTTCACAGTGGTAATTGTGCCAAGCATACATCCAGCTATTGAAGATAGTGAGTTGAATAAGACAGAAGTCCCTGGCCTTCATGGGACTTAAAAATCTGCCAGAACTTTCAGACTTTTACAGTTCTTCCCACTTGGAAAGAGGAGATTTTTTGTGCTCTATCAAGAGAATTTCAACAGGTATTATACCTGGAAGTCTTAATTCTTCCCCAGAGATATCAGAAATACAGACACCAAGCCCTAGATTCAGTCACACTGACTTGTCTCATACAGACACGTTTCTTTGTACTGACTATGTAAGTCACACCTCTGACGCTCATCTTTTCCCGTAAATTTAGTTTTTGCTCCCTGGGTGAACTTTCTGGAGGCCTGAGTCTGTTGCTTCTGCTGCTGAAATGACAAGAGTGTGACGCGGTACCTCTGGTTTGTTTCAGATTCAGGAAGATTTGACTGAAGAGAAAAGAAGAGAACTGGAGCATAATGCTGAAGAAACCTATGGTGACAATGTATGTGCAGCACCTAGATTCCTGTAGCATGCGTGGATGTCTGTGTGATATTGCATTATTCAGACAAAGTCTGGAAGAGATATTTGCACACGGAGATGTATGTGCATATTTATACACTCACAGACACACGAGGGAGCTTCAAAAATGTCATGGACAAATGTAATGAAAGATGGAACTTTTCCATGTATCTTTTGACAATCTTGCATGTGTGTGTGTATGTATGTGTCACCCTGGTGATGCTATGGGTTAGGCTAACCACAGGGTTGGTGGTTCAAATGAACTCCTTTGGGAAAAAGATGATGCTCCTGTACATATTTTGTCTAGAAAACCCTATGGAAGGTCACTCTGAGTCGGAATTAACTTAATGGCAGTGCATTTGGGGGATATTTATAATGTATAAATATTTTTCGTATCATACTATACAGACACACATACAACGGGGGTACCCCCCAAAACCAGAATCCCACCCCACCCCCACCAAAGCTATGTATTTAATTTTTTTACAAAGCAGTCTTATCACCTTCAGAGTACTCTCCATTACACTTAATGCATTGGTCCAATCTGCGATTCCATTCTTGGAAACATTTTTCAACTCATCTGTTTGGATGGTTGACAGCACCTCCCTCAATTTTTTTTTTCCTTCACCTCTTCTACATCATCAAACCACTGTCCCTTCATATCCCTCTTCATTCATGGTAACAAAAAGAAGTGGAGCAAGGCCAGGTGAGTAAGGTGTGTGGGGCAGGAGAGGAATGCTGTTTTTTGCCCAAAAAGATGGCTGTGAGCAGGTACACTGTCATGGTGGCAAAACCAGTCCCCACCTGCCACAAATCTGGATTCTGTTGCACACTGTTTCAGAACCTTTAAATGGTAAGCTTGATTAACAGTCTGAACTCCAAATGCACTACCCCCCTCACATCAAAAAACATGAGCATTGGTTTTGTGGGGCTACCCCCTCGTATATATTTTTATACATATATCTGCATATATGTATACGTGTGTGTGTATTTGTATAATTGGTGGAAGAATGCTCACCTGTTTGCAAGACTTCCACCAATTGATTTCAGCTTGACTCCTACTGAGAATTTGCCTTTCCACCCTGGATATATGAGAGCAGAATCTAGTTTTCACAAAAATTATCACTGGGCGGTTCCTGTAGATTCTCATTCATTATACCTGGGGTGCAAATGTTAATTCTCAGCAGGAAGTCTATGACCAGAATGAACTGGGTCCAAGCCTTGCCTGCTTGCCCTGAGTTGGAATTGGCTGTTAGGTGCCATGGGGTTGATCCCAGCATTATGTGACAGAGTAGAGCTGTTTCCTAGGGTTTCCAAGACTGTGATCTCTGTCTGTAATCTATGGGAGCAGAGCACCAGGACTTCACTTCTTCTGGAAGCCACTGGGTGTATTTAAACTCCCACCCTTTTAGCTGCAAGCTGCACACTCAACCTTCGTTTTCCATCAGGGCTCCTTAGGAATCGCGCATAATGGCACCTCAGAGGTGCCACTGAATTGAAGAGGTCCGTTTATCATTTGGAAACAGTTATAGAAATAAGACGATTAGGAGAGGTGAGCACCGTTGTCTACAGGATCATTTTCATCACTCATTTCCTTTCACCAAAAAGGCACGATCTTGAATTTTTTTAAGAGGGACCTGTTTATCTCCCTAACTCTACTGCCTGTCCCTTCCTTAGTTTTCTTCTTTTCTTTTAAGGTTGATGATAAAAACAATGATGCAGAAGAGCAAGAAATCCGAGAGGACAATCACCCCAAAGGCCGAGAGGAACACTATGAGGAGGAGGACGAGGAGGAGGAGGAAGATGGGGCCGCTGCGGCTGAGAAATCCCATCGGAGAGCTGAAATGTAGCTGAGCCTGCTCTCACCCGGGGCTCCGACTGGGATTCTTCTCAAGCTGCTCAGAGATAAATCTTCCTACTGAACTTTAGGATATTTAATTGCAGAAATTAAGGAATTTAGACGTAAAGAACTTTTGTATTAGAAATACTCATACATTTATATGAAGATATTTTGATAACGTAGGTTAGAGCTTCTTTTATATTCACTCTAAACAGGAGCAAGAACAAAAAAGCAAACCTTAGTCTCTGAATCTCATATTTCATAGATTGAGATGTTGGGATTTTGTTTTTGTTTCAACATGTTACCGCCCTTCCTTGTCATTTCCAGATGTTCCGTGTGACTTTGATACAGTGCAGTATCTAAAACAGTGAGACTACAAGATGCTGTGCAGACATTAAGGGGGAAGCTCAGTTGGCTGAATTGACCCTCCCGGGGTTCTGATAGAATTTTCTCTGTCTAGGAGAAGACCCTCATGCAGTGTGGCATCCCATTGAAATTGTTCTGGTTTGTTTTCAAAGGAAAGGCATTGTTTTTCAGATTTTTTTTTTTAGATCCATTACAAAAATGTTTGACATTACTGAAAATGATAACTTCTGCTTGAGAGGAACTGAATTGAAAAGTGACAGAGTACTAAAACTCACGTGACAGTATCTTGGACTTAGATCCTTCACTGTTAAAACAAGTTCTAACACATCCGAGTGTGAACCTTTTTGCAGGACCACCGGGCTAAGAGCTATGTTAGTGAGTATGTGTGGTATTTCTTACAGGAGAGCCTGCTTTCAGTATTCTTTGTTCCTGGTGTCAGTGTGTCGTCCTCAGCATAACCCCTCTCTCTGTGCCTCTGCACGTAGTCAGCTCGGTGACGAGTGTCAACATGAAGGCATACCAAATGGTGTCAGAGGATGATTTTTTGCAACAATACAAGATACCCGTGGTGATATGATAGAACCTCATGACTTTTCTATTTGCAACTTAATTATGAATTATTATAAATCCCTTTGATAAAATATTAAAAACCAAAATTCACCTTGAATAAAGGCATAGTTCAGCCATAAGAATAAAGCTTTTTAAAAAACATGAGGACTGGGTAATATAATTCATATGGAGGTGATTTTGTAATAACACACTGAAAGTCACATCTCAGTTTCTCCCATTATTGTATGAATGTAATTTTGTATTTTAATAGCCATGTTCATGGATGGTTTTGATTATCCCAGTTGAGTGATTATGTATGTATGCACAGGAATGCTTCATTTCTATGTATTTTGGAGTTTCAATAATCATAAATCAAGTCTTACACTTATGTATAAAATCCTTTATGTAATGTAAAATGTATAATATTGTATATAATATTCAGAATACAATTATTTTGGTAAATTAGTTTGTATTTTTAATGTCCCTGTTGCAGTATTTAATTATTTGAAAGATATTAAAACTTGGTAATAGTCAATAAAGACCCAAAAAGCAGGTGGTAAATCTTTTATGGTATGTGACTTCTTAATAGTTTTATCTTAAGCCATTTTTTATTTCTTTTTAATATAATAATTTTAGGGTTACCTACTACACCAACAGGAATGCTTGTGGTGCTATTGGGTTGGACTGATAACCATAGGTCAGTGGTTCAAGCCCCCTCGCTGATCCACTAGAAAAAGATGAGGGAGGCTGCTCTTATGAAGAGTTAAAGTCTCAGAAACCAGGTATAGGGTTATGAGTGAGAATCAACTCAATGCCAGCGGGATTCTCTTTGGCGACTGGGGGTAAAGGAGTTAGGATAGGGTGTTACATAATGTCGAGTCCTTTCCAACTCATAGCAACCCTACGGTACCACAGAAGGAATTGCTACCCCATCCTGCACCATCCTCACAATTATGCTGCACTGCCTGTCACATTGACAATCTTTCTCTTTTTCATTGACCTACATTACCAAGCATGACATCCTGTCCCAGGAACTAGTTTCTCTTGATACTGTCCAAGGTACGTACATGAGACAAAGTCTCCCCATCCCAGCTTCTAAGGAGAATTCTGGTTATACTTCTTCCAAAAGAGATGTGTTTGTCCTTTTGGCAGGGCATTGCATTTTGGCCATCCTCCAGCATCATCATTCAAATGCAGCAATTCTCCCGTGGTGTTCAGCATTCAGCTTTCACATGCATGTGAAGCAACCGAAAACACTATGGCTTGGGTCTTAGTTCTCAGAGTGGTATCTTTGCTTTTCGACACTATAGATTTGCACAATTTGGGGGACAAAGTGATCAATCAATACATATGATAAATTATAAAATCACTTTCCAAACCTACTCCTCTCCGCTCTTGGATTGACATGTGTACCCCCCTCCACCTTCCTAAAGAAAGCTAAAATGTATTAGCTCGTGCTGAGTGAACAGTACGGGAACGACGAGAGCGCAGTGTGCAGGCGTGTTGCCTGTGGGTGGCTGTGAGCTGCGCAGAGGATCTCAGAGTAGTCTCAAGGGCAGCAGGTTACCAGGCCTTTTTAACTGGTACTGTTGGATGGATTCAAACTGCCAACCTTTAGCAATCCAGAGAAAGCATGTAAGTCATTTTTACCACCCAGTTAACTGTTGAGTGCAAGGGCACACAAGTACCAGGCAAAATCTCCCATGGTAGGACAGGTTGTCTAGAGAGATGACTTCAGTGACACTCAGCTCTATCTAAGAACTAATTGCACATCAAGAAGGCCTCCCAGCCCCGTCCCAACTACAATGGGAGTCCATACATCCAAAGGTACTTTCCCAGCATGCCAGTGACGCAGAATGGTGAATGAGGAAGCAGGAAGATCCCTGGTTTGTGGACACGGAGTCTAGTGGATTCTAAGTTGGTGGGACTATGGCGGAGTGCTGATAGCTTTCAGGTTTGGTGGCAGAATCCCAGCAAGCAGAAAAGCCAAGTCTCGGCAAGAGGGAGGTTCCCTGGGTGTCCATCAATTTGGGCTGCAGGGCAACGGAG